TTAGTGGATTGGCTCACTACTGACTTACTATCTAGTTACTAGAAAGATTAAGGTACTGTACTGGTTGGTTTTCCCAGGACTGAGACCGACAAACTACTTTCAACCGGGGTGGAATGAACCTTTACTGCACTGCTAGCGTTTTAGAGCTTGAAATAACTAGCACTCATACGGATTGGACTTAAACCGACTGTGCTACTAGGCTTAAAAGAAAAGCTTTAACTCCCTCCCCTCCCCGAACCGCCCTATTACACCTAGGCTCATATGATCTTAAAAAGGAAAATAGGTTGACTTTCTTTCATTTTGGTTATGGAAAGTAAAAGTAGTCAAGTTGACTCTAATCGCGTACGCCGAGCTTCGATGGATTGTTGTGTTAAGTCTCTTTTGTGAGATAACAAAGACAAGGAACCACAACCCCTTCGGGTAGGGCATAGGTGGCTATGGCGGAATAACCTTGGATCTACAAGACTTACTTCACGCTCTCTAGAAGCTCACTGCAGAGAAAGGTAAAGTGATTCTTTCTATAAAATCAAATCAAAGAAAATAAAGATATTGTTCACCGAAAGATAGGAAATTTATTAACTTCAAGAGCGGAAGGGAATACTTAACCACACCTCGAGTCCCAGTCTCCTAGTGGTGGGATGGTAAAGGGAAATGTTCAGTTTTGGACAAGAGATGTCTTTGCTTCGTCCCCTTTCTTGTTGGTTGGCACAAGCCCTTGTAGTAGTCAGCCTTTCCTCCCCGATGGTCTACACCAAGTATGAACTCAATTTAAACGGGGATCAGAGCAAAAAAGGCCCTTTTCCTTTTCTACTATACTTTGAGCCGCTTCCCGGAATGGTAAGACTTGCCTTTTCCCTGACTCTATTAATAAGGAAATTCCCTGGTGTTCACTCTAGTTCCTAACTCATTTATGCTGTAGGCATAGAGCTATGGGAATGCTTTCATAGGCTAGGGGGATAACTCTTAATTAAGTAACTAAGCCCCAAGGCTAGTGAAGGAAAAGGAAGTTACATTAGAGCTACTACTCCTGACTCGAGGGTGATAATTTGAATCGAATAGATTGAATCAGAAATGCACTGAGAGAGAGGCAGAATAACCAGAAGCCAGAAGAAGGGCTTTAGTTAGGAAGCGAATCTTCATTGAAGTGATGTTAGCTAGGTCCTTTCCTCGAGCCTGTCTTGAAGCAAGCAGAAAGTCTTTTACCTAGATACCCGCTTGAAAATGACGTAGAGAGAGTGTTTGAGAACGTATCTATGTGGTTTATCGGTTCTAAGTAGCGATTAAAGTAAAACCACTAGCACAGCGTGAAAACGTTGTTGCCATGTTTTATAGTTTGGCAAACTAGCTCCTGAGACCATAGAGCGGAGTCTTTGGTTATGAACGTGATGGGGACCAGGCTAGTTGGCTCAGCAACATAGTTGTTTGGTAACAGACAAGCACAAGGTAATGGGGGGATTAGAAAGCTCCTATTATCTTTGAGATCATACGGGTGGACACTTGGTACTGGTATAAAAAGGGCATATTCGAGTGCCCCGCCGCCAGCATCGCTCTTCTCTTCAAACATAAGTAACTTTGTAGGGAGGAGAGCCTGCCGATCGAGCGAAGGGATCCATATGGCTTTCAAGGGGAGCTTCTTTTATAGCCTACTGGTATTTAAGTAACGGACGTGTTGAATTAATTTTCATGATGATTCATTCAATTTGTTCGTCGGGAAGTGCAAGCTTTGTGAACCAAAAAAGCCTGTCGATGAAACTCATTCCCTCGTGCTTCCATTAATGACAAATACTTCAGTAGAGGTCGGCCAAGCATGATCAAGGCAGGTGAGCCCTTCCCGCTAACAAAAGGTAGAAATTTAGAGATACTTGGACCCGAAAGGACTGGACCCGTGGAAACTAAGTGATAATTCTCGCTCCGGCCCGGGTAGACAACACCTGAGTTAACAATACACAACCGAACTTAGAATGGGCCAGAACACCACTATTGGGCGACAAAGTGGACCTTTACCCGAAGCGTAAAGCTGATTCTATGACGCTTATAAGCCCACAAAGGCGAACAAAATAACGTATATATATATATATATATATATATATATATATATATATATATATATATATATATATATATATATATATAATATATATATATATATATATATATATATATATATATATACATATAGCTACTGAAGCAACTGTACAAAAACTTGTTCGGTGATCCGACAGTGCCGAGTAGAAGGGCTCTCGCCCAACAGAAATTCTTTAGGTGTTCCATGAGAGGGGCTCTGGATGGAATTGGGTTTGAATCCCATAGCCCCAATGTATCAAAATATCATGATTGGGTCGACCAGACCAGGCCTAGATCTTTTTTCTTTTTTTCTGGTATGCCGCTCCGTGAGAATGGAGTGAAAGAACCAAGTGGTTTGTGGTAATGTCAGAATTTGCACCTATTTGTCTCTCATTCATGATCAGTCTGCTAGTTTCTTTGATCACACTCGGTCTTCCTCGATTGTTCCACCTTTTCTATTCATTCCTAATAATTCTTCCTTTACTTGGTTTGTTCTATTCTCTTTGTATGAAACTCGACTTGATAGACTTATTTCATTCTCTACTATTTAAAATAGGGTTATATTTTAGTAGTCGAGTCCTAACCTATGCTTTCTTAAAATTATGCCTTGCGGGGGGGCTTGCCTGGGTTTTTTTATTCGTTTTGCAGGCACTATTCAGTACCGATGGGGGGGGGGGGGGGGTCTCCATCGGGAATGGCATGATGCCTCACGGAGCTTCCGAATCCACCAATTCAGATTTGTTTACTTATACAAGCAACTTGGTGGATGATTCGGGCAGTTCCGGGCGTAGTAGAAGTACCTCAACGATCAATCAACCGCTTTTGGGGGAACAAGCTATGCCTCCCGCTCTTCCTGTTATGCAGGAAGCTGCTAATTGGGCTCTGCCCTACCCCTATAAAAATAATGAGATTATAGGGGGGACAATGTGGAATCCATCCAACGGAGGCTTTTGGGGAGATTCCCCTCTCCTTCAGCCCATGAGATTCAAATGGCCTGGATTGAAGCCGAAGACCTATTCGAGGTCAAGGTAGATATCTGTCAGGTCATGGCGAGCCTTCACCTAAGCGAGGATTGGATGTGACAGGGTGCACGTGTCCTCGACAATCCTCGTACCTTCACGGGCGAGGATTCCCTACAAAACCTTTATAGACTAAGGGATGGAGTTGTGAGCGGGGATGCCACAATAATCACAACTTTAAAGCAAAGTATGCTTTGGCGCTGATCCGATGGCGACACCGAATCCAACGCATAAGCCACAACTCCTTCCCTTCTCTCCTCTTGCTCTCGTGTACAATAACATTAACGGCACAAGCCTGAGCTGGGCCTACCTCCATCCCTAGAGGAGCCGTATGGGGTGGAAGCTCCACGTAGGGTTTTGAAGCCGAGCCTTTCCAACAATGGGGCCTAGGGACTGCTATGATGATTGGTTTAGGTAGGGTGGCCGGCCTACTACGGGCACCTGTAGGTATTAGTGTGTGAGACCGCGATCCACAAACTGACGCATGGGACTCACCCTTTACTTGGGAATGAAGAGGGGAAACATAGCATGTCACAAGAGCGAGGCGAGGTTTGGAACCCTATTACGAGAGGTACGCCTCGCGAGCCGGGCTTCTAGAGATGAGGCCTTTTGGCAAAGCCAAGTCAATTTCAGGCCACCAAACCCTACAACGGATGAGAAGGCCTATGGAGTAAAGGGAAGCGTGTACGTTGTCATACTCCCTGCCTTCAAAAGGTTCCTAGAGTACAGGCCATAAGACGCAAGCGACGACCCGGGAACGGATCCCCCACTGATAGAGGGACAGGAGACGGCCATCTCAAGGCACATCACGACCTACAGGCAAGACCGGCGAGACCTGGGAATGAAACGCGATTGGGATTCAGAGGATCCATAGTACCTGCAGCCCTGCGGACTATATCATCATCATTTTTGAAAGCGGGGGGAAGGGATCTCCTTTCTGTAACGGAAAAAAATGGAGCAGATTTGACTCGGCAAAACCTAACGATGCATCTAATACCAATGATCTGTTCCTAGAATGCGTTTCTAGATCTCTTCTCTAGAAAGCTATCCAGGAAACAACAAAGGCGGTTTTCCCCGGGGCTTCCCTTTCATTACTTCTTTCATGACGAGGGAACCACGTCCGCATCAGTCGAAGTGGTTAAAAGGTAGGGCACTATCCTTGCGGCAGTACTGCTCCCATCTACTAAGTATCTATTAGTTTAATACCCGAGACACACGGGCCTTCCAACGTCTTATGACGGTGGTAAGAAACTATGATCTATGGATATAGGAAGAGATTCGAGTAGAGGTGGGTAGCGGCACTGGGTGGGACCGAGAGAAAGAAAGTACGGGGGTAACCAACCTGCCTGTTGAATTTCGTAACGTTTGTGACTCAGTGCTCCATACGGTAAAATGAAAACTAAATTCGTTTTTCCCTCACGTTCAATATTTTTTTAGCGGTTTCCTCAGAGATCTTTATCATTAATGCAACCTGCATTTTGCTTATTCATGGAGTTGTATTTAGTACCTCTAAGAAATATGATTATCCACCGTTAGTCAGTAATGTGGGTTGGCTTGGATTACTTAGTGTTTCACGCCTAGGAGGGCAGCACGCTTTGGGATGTGAAGGAGCGAAGCAGCTCGAATGAATGTGAGAGGAGCAAAAAAATCCCAGCTCCCTAACCTAATGCGGCACCGAGTTCAGACTGCAAGGAACCGTAGCATGGGAGGATGTATAATCCTTTTGCAGACGCAAGGCTAGCTAATCGTGCGCAGTTGGCTCGAATACCCCAGGTTCTGGAAGGCACATGAGTCTGAACGCTATGTTGAATGTGAGATCGACATTACACTACATAGGTACTAGTGCAGGTAAGGAGTAGGTCGGTCCTAGAAACGGCGGCAGCGGCGCAAGGAGTTAACGACCATATGCGCTACAACCTAGGGATCACCAGGCAGCTCTTTCGCTCTATAGGGATCGGGATGGCATAACACAATTCTTCTTGGAGGAGATTTGGTTTTCCCAGGTGACTGATCCTGCCATAATATACTCATACCTATACGCACAGGCAACCGAAGTCGAGCATACATACAATGATCTTCATGCGTGAATAGCCGAGAGGAAAGAAGGGCGGTAGATGATAATGAAAAAAGGCGCCGCGTCTGGACGGGCGGGCGGAATGGATGAGCGAAAGGTTCCATTGAGTGAGGAACCCCCCGAGTCTCATGTAAGACAACTAAATTCACCTCGAGGTGTTGCCGAGGAACTGGGGGACCTTCTCGAGCATAGGATAGGAAATTGAGAGATAGAGATAGCTTATTCGTTATGAGAAATCAATGCTCCGTGCCGAAAATAATAGATCTTACCTCCGACACCTGGCTTTCTCCGACACATATTAGCTTAGCTGCGCTTAATAGGTCGGCTTCCTCTCTGGTGGCCACTTACCTTACCCACGCTACACTTCCACTCCAAGCTACGCCTGTTGAGCAAGATGAATTGCTATTTCCTCTTCTGTGGATGCACCGAAAGATTCTCCAGGACGAGAAGATAAATACTTTTATGGAGGGCTTTCTCTCGTAAAGCCAAAGATGCCCCAAGACAAGGGGGAAGGGGACATAATCAATAGAACCTGGTTGGGCCCATTCCTAACCTGTTTCGAAAAGGTTCTCTCATGCTGGAGGGAGCATCCCCACTTAGTGATCGGTCCGCTAGTTCGTGCTAATCTGAATAAGTTATCACAGACGAGCCACATGCAGGGAAACTTGCACGTGTGGTTCTGGCTGCGCTTTCCTGAGGTATTTAATAACCTTGCTTATGCTCTCCGCTGGCGCACCTCTCCTAACTATTGGACATTTATTCCAGAATAATCTTTTTAGGAGGGACAATTTTACATATTTCTGCCAAATCCTTCTATTATTAAGTACGGCTGGTACCATTTCGATGTGTTTCGATTCTTCCGAACAAGAGAGGTTTGATGCTTTTGAATTCATTGTATTAATTCCACTTCCTACTCGCAGTATGCTCTTTATGATCTCGGCTCATGATTCAATTGCCATGTATTTAGCTATTGAGCCTCAAATTTTATGTTTTTATGTGATGGCAGCATCAAAAAGAAAGTCTGAATTTTCCACGGAAGCCGGCTCAGAATATTTGATTTTGATCTTAGGTGCATTTTCCTCTGGAATCTTATTGTTTGGGTACGACCGAATAACTACTGATATCTAAAAATCTCCTTTCTTAGCTTATAATGTTGTTGTTAAATATATATTGTAAACTATCGGATCAGGTATTACTTAGATGTAAAACTTGCAGACCTCATTGGTGATCTTACGGGGGGAACGAAATATAAAAGAATATATAGACTTGTAGAGACCCTCTATGTAGTTGTCTATCTGAGGCGATCGATCTACATCTTTCCTCATAGCCCAGGGGTTGTGTCTCGATCTTCTACGTGCTAAATCTGAGGGACTAGTTCCTATGGAGATTCCCCTTGGTCTAATTCCACACCTTATGACGAAAGGAGAGTCGGTGTGGCGTAACGTGAAGATTGAGGGAAATAGAGAGAAATTCCCTTCTGGGGTATTCTGAAGGTGTAACCTAGGCAACGAAAGAAAAAGGTGCCCAAGACTTCAACTAGAAGAGCGACCAGTTGGTTCACCAAACCCGGACCCAACGTCACGCGTTCTCCAGGTCCGAAGGGATCTAGTGCCCAACTACTGACTCCTTCCGGAATTGCGTTATCAGAGTCGAGCCAGGAATGGCCGTTAGTGGACACCCACCAATTTTAACCGGTTAGAGAGGCCCTCTTTAATAAATTAAGAAAAGATGTTCACAGGTGCCAGAAAGACTCGATCATAGGAACTTAGACCGCCTACTCGCTGGTAAACGAAAACCACCTCGATCGGATCAGAGTAAACAACAATGTCGAATCAGGCCGCCCCTTTCCTTGAAAGAATTCACAGGCAACCACCAGCTTTAAAAAATTTAATAAATAAGGGGAGATCTGCTGCTTACTGCTCACGGAAACATCCGACCTATGCTATAGTCAAGTCGTCTGCCTATCTTTTTTATCTCTCTTCCTTCTATTTATCATATTTTTGGCTTTGACTAATTAAAGGTGAAAAAAATGGGGTTGGCTAAAGCTAAAAAAGGGGAAGAGAGGATATCTTGGGGGTACGCTCACTTCTGAATTTTTTTAGGTTATCGAGATTATCAATCGCTCTTTTTAGTGGGGAGGAATAATGCGTGAATGGAGGTCCTCAGACGAGGGAATCGTTCCTCTCTAAAAAAATATAGGCTAGAATGAATGCTTCTATCGATAGAGGTTTCACGTCTGCATATAGAATTGTTTTTTTGCCTTTTCATTCCGTTTTTACTATATCATAGGCTGTTGGGTTGGAATCCGTGTCATGGCACGAGATTAAAATATTCTTCGCATCCATCTTCGGCCTTGTGTTAGAAATGTCTCGCGGGACCGAGTTAGTGGTCGAGTCATTTTTGGTAATTGACACCCGTCACATTAGTTTCAATTCATATGTGACCATTAATAGTGAAGTAGCCCTCTTTTTTTTATGTCTTACTGCCTTATTCTATCTATCAAAGTCCTTCTTTGTCTATAGCTCAGGTCAATCCCCCATGGTCTGCTTTGATTTTATCAAACAGTGTCGGCCCGCATCAGGGACTCCCGTGCGAGCCATACAACGTTCCCAGGCAAGAATTGCTCCTTTCCTTTAGCTCCCTATTTTGTTCCCCCTATCCCAGCCAGGCGTTGATCTCGCAACGACCCTCCAGCATGTCCTCATATCGTGTCCGTCACCACAACAGCGCATCCCCAGATAGATACTAGCCATTGTGACTTGGTCATAAAAAGGGGCACAAACAGAAAGTACTATTCCATATCAAAAAAGTTTGTCTTCGATTCTTAGCATCTCGGGTGCCAACGAATGCCTTTGGTTTCACTTAATTCGAACCATCTCCGTCGAGCCACTTCTTATGGCCTTATGTAGTATGGGGACCTCGCCCCTATTATCTAAAGCTTGCCACCTCGTGAAAGGTCACACAAGAAGGCTATTCGACCGACAAAACTTAAGAATTAGTGCATGCTGCAAAATTGACTTTTCTTTCTAAGTGAAGGGTAGGAGAAAGAATCTTGAATCTATCTCGAGTTGCTCCCTTGAGCGGTCTATCCCAAGTTTTGTGACATCGAGTTTGCTCTATTCTCTTAGCTCGGGATCCTATCAAGCTTAGCTTCGCGCATGATAACGATAGCAGCATTCTATTTTTTTTTTGTTTTGGGGAAGGAAGTCGCATGCTAGTGCACTACACCTCACCCAAGGTTCACGTTGCTAGGTCCCTTCATGCTTCGACGCACTCCCGCCTCGTGTTTTCGCAAAGTCTTGTGCCATACTTTGATAATGACATGGTTCGGAGGAACTCTAACTCATTTGGGTGAAAACTCCTTCTTCCAATCCCATAGAGAGGCCCAGAAGAATAACAAGACGTTTTACCAATTGAATCATCTTAAATTAAAGACATCATGCCCTAGACGCGAAGGTGAGTAAGAGAGTCGGGTTAATTCTATGAAGATATAAGAGCGGACTTCTGAGGAGACTGGAAGCCTATAAATAATAGGAATGGAAAACTGGAACCTCATCCTTCAAAGGTTTGGTGTATATGTGTCCTATTCGTAAAGATCCCTACCTTGCGTCATGAAACGTGGAAAAAAGCCTAAGACTCTACAGGCTAGCCGGGCCTAAAGGAGCTTATAAAATTCCACCTATGTAGTGGCTCGCATTCAACCACTAAGAGTCTTCCTTCTCATTTCCTTATTTTGAATTCCACGATTCTTCATTTCCCACCCTAGCCGCCCTTCCTTAACAAGATGGCTCAGAGCAAGCCAAGCAAAGTCTTACGTTATCTACTATCTATTTTTTTAGCATAGAAGGGAGGTAAGCACACAATGAAATAGGTGGAGAGTCACATTTCTTTAGAAAGCCCAAAAGCCCGTTTAGCTCTTCGGACTAAGGCGTGACCATAGGATCTCACTGTGTCGAAATGAGTTGAAGACGAGATGTGGTGTCTAGTCAGATAGGGCGAGGCGAGAAGGGGGACAAGGATCAAAACAAGCATGGTGCTTAGGGCGACCTCTTACATTTCCTGACGTTGGGTTCATTCGCGAACGAGACAAGTTTAGCTAGGAGCCTCCTTATTGCCCAGCCCCCTTCTTAGTTGCCGAAGTATAGGCCCGCGTGAGATCAAAGTAACCTACCGTCCGTTCGCTTTGTTTTGGTCTTGACGTGCTTTTAAAAACAAAGATATATTATTTTCACTAGAGCACTGACGATAGACCCACCGAGAACACATTCACTACTAGGCATTGACATCTTAATGCCTTGCAATTAGGACATTGATCGATCTTTATGCTTCCCAGCAACTGTACAATTCGAATAGGCTACCAGTACCTATTAAGTTAAGATCGCTCGAGTTCTTGATACCGGGGAGGGGCACCCCTAGTGCAATGCCAATTTATGTGCCGATTGGAGACCTGGTACGAGATGCATATCTTGAAAGAGAGCCATCACCTCGCCCAACATCCCTTCCTTTTCAATAGTAAATTCGAGAGCAAAATCCAAAAGCTTAATTAAAAAGCAGTTGATCTTGATCCAATTCCCGATGCATAGGGCGAAATCTGGTTGAAGCCCCGGGTCATTTTTAGTAGTGCTGCTCGCTAGAAATATCTTTTTGAGGAAAACTTACATAAAAAATTGTAGTTAATTATGAATCTTCTTCTCAGAAAGACCATCGAAGAAGAGCATATCCAACTTGAAGACCTTCTAGAAAGTCGCCTATAGAAATAACATACCTAACCAATATGAGCTTGTCCAAGACTTGCCATTCCCATGGAAGAATGTTTCCCTGCGTACTGATTCATTACCGACTGAACGAAATACGCTTGCTTCTATTCCCTCCCTCTGAGATATTAACCGTGATTGTATAGCTGTACGGAATCCCCAGGGGAGTTAAGGGATACGTGAAAAAGGAGGGGGTGGAAGAACTACTTCAATTCATCCATAAGATTCCATACCTTTCTGGCTATACGGAAGGACGGAATGGATCATCAGAGGGTGGAAATTGACTCCAATTAAAATACTGGCTTTTCCATAGGGATTGCATGCCTATTTTAGGGATTAGTCACTTCACGGGAGAGAACACGAGGAATGAGCGACGATCGGCCTATGTTTTGACTAGTCATCATCGGTTTACACGCTTGCTGAAACCACCCTCCATAGCCGATTGGATGGTTGGATAGCCACTCAACTCTTCACTATACTTCATGTATCCCCACTCCCCTCTTTATCTCTCTCGACCCATTCACCAGAGTATGTTGGGCTAGAATGCCTCCATTCCCATCTCTTTATGATCTCTGGGCCTTCCCGCTATGAGATATTCCCGACGCAGAAGTATATTCATGCATAATACTAAAATAATAATTTACCCTCTGCATATAGGGGTAGGAATCCCTAGAAGAGGATAGAAGGTCATTTTGTCATCAATGGAAAAGCATGCGTGATAAGGATACTCCTTTATGCAAATGTTCTAGCTTTCAAAGGACGGGGAGGAGGAAGGGAGTTTCGGGAATAAAGCCCCCGCCCCCGGATTTAAAAGTTAAGCCTTACCCTAGTAATGTCTTTTCCCTATCTAAGCTATATCAACATAGACAACTATAAAACTAATGCTCCTGTCAATTAATTCTTGGTGTAATACGTAAATGATTGTGTCTGAATTTTTCACTGATCAGTCACATCCGTGTAAGAATTAGGAACTCCTCTTCCAACTCACCCGAGAATGGGCGTTATGGCAAAGAACAAGAAGAACACAATCGGAGGAATTTGTCCAATAGTAACAAATGGTGCCTCCACAGGTTGACATCCGATCCAACCTAGTAGTAATAGATCCGCCAAAAGAAACCAAAATATTCCTTGGTGAATAGGGAGAAAACTTGAACTACGCACGTACATACTTTTAAAAAAAAAGGTAAAGCCAACAGACATATAAAAACAGGTTCTATTGCGACTACACCTCCCGATTTGTCAGGTATACTACGAAGAATGGCATGGATCGGTAGGAAATACCATTCCGGAATAATATGAGCCGGGGTGGGCATCGGATTAGCAGGTATATAATTGTCGAGATGCCCCAAAACATTAGGAGCATAAAAAATCCAA